TCTGACGGATGTTCATGTTCAGAAACTCTTAGTTAGCATAAATGAAAGAAGGGTATATAGGTTTTTGTTCTGGTAAATATAACAGTATCAAGTATAATATACAAATAATTATGAGTCTAGCTATATCTGGTATCTCACGGCACACTGTCATCAGCTAAAGGTGGTAACGTTATTAGCTCCGCCCATTTTTTTGACCCCAACAAATTCTAGGAGGTGGCAAATACAGGGATCAAAGTAGGGGAGGAGGAATGGATTTAAGGAAGATTAGGGAGTGAGAAGGGGTGGCAGAGTGGGAAAGGGAAAGGAGAGGGGGAAGGAAAGAGAGAGGGAGAGAGAAAGCGAAAGGGGAAGAAGGAGGAGGATAAAAGACGGTGCTGAGGGAGGAGGGGAAAGGGAAGAGAGGAATATAGAACTTAAAAGTGGGCGAGGAGTGAATTTAAGGAAGACTTGGGGGTGAGAGGGAGTGAAAGAGCGGGGAAGGGAAACAGGGAATGGGAGAGGGAAAGGGAGGGAGAGCAGAGGATGAGAGGGTTAAGGGAGAGTGAAAAGGGGAGGGGAGAGGTAAAGAGGAAAGGGAAGGGGGAAGAGAGACCGAGAGCGGGAGAGGAGAACGAGAGCTAGATGTGCGAGAGAGAGAGAGAGAGAGAGAGAGAGAGAGAGAGAGAGAGAGAGAGAGAGAGAGAGAGAGAGAGAGAGAGAGAGAGAGAGAGAGAGAGAGAGAGAGAGAGAGAGAGAGAGAGAGAGAGAGAGAGAGAGAGAGAGAGAGAGAGAGAGAGAGAGAGAGAGAGAGAGAGAGAGAGAGAGAGAGAGAAAGGAAAGGGATAGAGGCAAGACGTAAAAGGAGGATAGTGAAAGAGGGAGAGAGGGAGAAGTACCTATATAATTTTCACGGGTCACACTAGTAATAATATCAACAATAACAATAATGATTATGATAAAAGTAGTAGTAATAGCAATCAGGATAAATATTGATAATACTACTACTACTGCTATCATTACTTCTACTGCTTCTACTTCTGATGAGGATGATGATGATGGTGATGATGACAATGATAATGATAATGAGTATAATAATAACAACAATGATATGATAATGATAATAGTAATAATAATATTACTTAATACTGCTTCTTCTACTGATGAAGATGATGATGATGATGATGATGACAATGATAATGATAATGATAATAAAGATGATGAAAAATAAAGGTAGTGATAATGATAACAATGATAATAATCATAATAACGATAATAATGACAACAAGGATAATAATAATGATGATAAAAGTAATGATAACAATGATAATGATAATGATGATAATAATGATAATAATAATAATAATAATAATAATAATAATAAATAATAATAATAATAATGATAATAATGATATATAATAATAATAATAATAATAATAATAATAATGATAATAATAATAATAATAATAATAATAATAATAATGATAATGATAATGATAATAATAATAATAATGATAAATAATAATAATAATAATAATAATAATAATAATAATAATAATAATAATAATAATGATATATGATATGATGATGACATAAAATTGATAATAATAATAGTGATAATAGTAATAATGATGACAGTAATGATAATAACAACTATAAGCACTCAGCGAATACCTCACTGATACAACAAAAATATTCACACTTGAAGAATTATATCAAAATCATCTCTTTCTCATGTACACTGTTGACGTTCTTTTTTTTCCATATCTCGCAGTGCTAAAGAATCCTTTAAGAAGATCGCGGATGGCCACCAAAATATGATGGCATTTATGTTGTGCTATTATGCGCCTCTGGTGGAAATTTCATAAAAATCTGTTCATAACTTAATGACGGACAAACTAACCAACACTACCAAAGACATAACCCCCCTTGGCGGTTTATAATAATAATGATAATAATAATGATGATAATGGCAATAATAATGATGATAATGATAATGATAATAATAACAACAACAACAACTACAATCATAACATGATAATGATAATAATGATAATAATGATAATAATGATAATAATGATAATAATAATAATGATAATGGTAATGATATTAATAGTAATAATGATAACGATAATATTAATATTGATAATAGTACTACTATTACTAATACTTCGACTACTACTACTACTACTACTACTACTACTACTACTATTACTACTACTAATAATAATGATAATAATAATGATAATGATAACAATGAAAAAGATAGTGATAATCAATAATAATCACAATAATTGTCAACAGTAGGAAAACTTTAGTTACCCTTCAAATACCTAACGTTTTCTTCCTCAAACGGTTCTTATTTACACGTGTTGAGGGAAAAGCAGAACCGCCGAAGTGATCATTCATTGCAAGAACTTTTTTCCTGTGATTTTTTACGTGTTTTTGAGACATGGCTTCCGGCGCAGAGGCTAAGAAAGTCCTTTTCATATGTCTAGGTAAAAGTTAATCTAAATGACATCTTATTAATTTTTGAATAAGGATTAGGAAATAATAGGTGTTTTATTCGTCATTTTACATATTTATTAGCATTTCATTATTATTATTATTATCAGTAAAATAGATAAAAGTGGAGATATTTGGAGATAAATGGTAGTGTAGATCAGGCTTTTCATAATGTATATTTTGTACAATCTTAGGTGTTGGTTTGTGTGATACCTATTGCCAAATATGGATTTATGCAATGGGAGTTAATTATTTGAAAAATGCCTTTTACTGGTAGATGATGAGTTTTCTAGATATTTACCATTGTATGTTGTCCTGGAATGAAAAATATAATTACCAATAATGCAATATTTGTCGATCTCTGTTAATGGGAGATTTGGTAATAGATATTTATATAGCCTGTTAAAGGGCTGGAGGTTAATGTTCCTGAGGGTCATACACAGAGATAGAGGGAAATGGATAACATCGTCTCTTAGAGCACTAGAAATAGTCATAAACAACTCGGGTACAGCCACAGCGGCCTCATATTTACTGTGGAATGATGAAAATATCCGCTTCATATCACCGTTCACAGACAAAGTCAGCAACACCCTCACACAGTTCTTAATATCCATTTTCTAAAAGTTTGCACTAAATGCTAATAAAGGGGGTTACAGGGAATAAATAGAAGGGAGGAACGGTTAGGTTTGGTTAACATGATACCCTGGTTTTGGGATTTTGTCTCAGAAGGGTTGTGTCGCTCTTGGTTATGAATACCCGCTGGGAAAATGGCTTGCCTGACTTCTTTGCTTGCGTTTTCATTGTTATTTTATTTTTAGAAATTTATCATTATTATTTTTGTGGTGCTTATGTAAAAAGTTTGCTTATAGCTCACTATCATCCTGTCAAGAACTGCGTAATTTATTTATGAATGCATTATTAGTTATATAAAATGCTGGAATAGAACTTATATATGAACGTTATACAGCAACTTTTTTAGACAGTAAGAAATGTATATTCCATGCTTATTTTCCAAAAGGACAGTAGCAATAGATGAACAGATAAATCTTTTCCAGGGACCTAGCCAACCCTTTGAAAAATACATTTGCTGATTAACACTTGAGGTTCTGTTTAAAAAAAAAATTATGTTGATTATAGATTTTATTGAGGCTATCTTCGTCAAAGCCAGTAGGCACACATTGCCAATTTTGGGGGCAATATTTTTAGCCAAAGCTTTTGAACGAAAGAGTTATGCTAATGCAGCAATCACTGACTTGTTGACCTGACCTTTTTATTCCAGTAGCCCAATGACCTCTGGCTTCCAATATGTGTATTTACATGATGAATAACTCTGTGGCCTCAAAACCTCTTGCAAAGCACTTCTTAACTTCGGCAATTGTCATTGGATTTTGGACTTCCATTTGTGCACCCCCCTTTCCGAAAATCTTGGATCTGCCCATGTCCAATATGTAGCCTGTGTTTTCATGACTCTTAAAGGACATGTATCCTATATTTAGGCATGCTTAGTGAGGAGGCATGACACACTTTACCAGTATACCCATGGGATACCAGAAAATTATTGAATGTCATTGTTGATTTTGATATGTTAATTTAAAACTCTCTCTTTTTCTAATTGAAGTATATGGAAACGATAGTTTATAGTGCTGATTTAGTACAAAGCATCAGAAAATAAGATCTTTTATCTTTTAATGGTTAAAGAGAGCATGGATTTTTTGTTTTATGATATACTGTTCATGATTATGGACACACCTACCATGATATAAATCCCATGATTAATTCTCCATGCATTTTAAGCCAATGAAAGCAAACAAATAATTTACAACATACCAAAGCCATCCTATGAATAACTTCTGCAATGTCTTTTGAAAATTTTTCAGTAACTCGCAACTGTTGAAAATTTTTCCACAGGGAATATCTGCCGCTCTCCCACAGCAGAGGCAGTATTAAACCATGTCCTGAAGCAGCGAGGCCTTGAGGGCTGGGAGGTTGACTCAGGTGCCATTGGGTCATGGCATGTAGGTCTTGGCCCGGACCGACGTGCTGTCAACGTTATGAAAAGACACAATATACCCATGGACCACAAGGCTAGGCAGGTGGGTGTGGGGACATTGTGTGCTTTGATATGTCAATTTTTTTTTTTGTGTGTGTGTGTGTATGGGGGTAGGGATGCATGTGTGTATTATACTTTCCTGTGGTATTTTGTGTAATGTTCTTCAAGTGGTTTGGAGTACCACTTGAATATATATATAGTAAGTGAAAAGCCTTCTTAATTATCAGTAACAGTATTTACCAAAAAACATTGGTTCTGAAAAGCGTTATTGCTCTTAGAATATTAATTTGGTCATTATTTTATCATTTGTTTCTCATGTTGAAATCATCTTCATTTTCTTGAGAATCACTTCAGCACTTATTGATTTTACCAAATGTATATGTAATATTGGAAAAGGTTTCTTAATTATTATTAACAATATTTCCCCTGCAATCCTGGATTTTATTTTTTTAATCTGATTTTAATTTGTTATATATTATTAGGTTAGTTAGACAATACCAATTTGTATGATCTTACCGTGGTTATTAAAAGGCAAGAATTTCATAATCTTTTCCAGTATTTTCATAAAATTTTGTATTACTTTTATATTCTTGCAGTCCAAGAGAAGGGCAGGTTCTTTGAGAAAGATCTTTTATTAATATAATAATAAATATATCAATAGTTTCAGTTCTCTGAACAATTACCACTCTTAGAATATTAATCTGTTCATGATTTATCATATGTCATCTTCATTTTCTTCAAAATCACTTGATAAGTCAGCACACAATTTATTTGCTCCCATTAAAAGAATAATAGATAAAAATTGTAAAGTATCTGTTGGAGCATTTTGCACCCAACACTTATAGTAAAATATGCTATATAGGCAATTCAAATAGAAAAATATGAAATAACTATACGTCTATTCTCCTGACATTGATGTCACCAAAACTTACTTCCACAGTGAACCGTATTTGAATTGATGTGCCCCAAGAAGTGATGGTTGCGCTGGTATTTGTGATAGGTCATCGCTTTTGGGCTAAGGGTAAACACTTACAAAATCCTCATAATAGTTACGGGAGATTTGATTGAAGCACTATATGTAATATTAAGTTGCAAGCTTGCCTTCTTAAAGTAAGATGAAATATTTTTTACCCACGCTTATGGGCAGACTTAGTTATTCTGAGCTTTCTTCATCATTAACATACCAGTATTCAAGCTTGATTTTGTGACATCATTGCCCCATACTGGTTCCATAATTTGTTTATATATGTGATTGTAGATTGTCTATTGTGTAAAATGGAATTTTGAATGTTGAACAGTCCTTCCTTTTTTCTCTGTAGTGAAAGATACAAGATAGAATGTAATTAATAATCTGTAAGTATATAAATTTATAGCTTTATTGCCCTCTCAGGATTGTACAAAAATACATTGGAACATAAACTTCTGTTCCTGATTGTCACACCAATAACAGAAAAAAAGTTCACTTGCAGGCAAGAGTTAGAAAGTATGTTCATTCCAACTTTGTTGCGTTAATGTATTTATTTCTTGTACATTTTGATTGGTATAAGATAATGATTTATGACAGGGGTCTCCAACTTGGAGGCCAAGGGGTAGTTTCTGGAGAGTCCATTGAGCAATATAAAACTTATGATGTTGAACTGAACTGAGTTTTATCTACATCATCTCTTGCTGCATATCAATAAACTGTAATCTTTCCATAAAGTGTTCTTGTACTATAGCTAATGACACCATGATAATATTCATAAAAAGTAATTACTGAATCTCAAAAAATGACACTGAACTGGAGCATAGAGATTATTATTACATATTGGTTAAGGCCCACAGAATGAATAAGGTTGGGAACTCTTGATCTATGACATTTATAATTGTTTTAACACTTTGGATGGCATAAATGTATATGCCATGGCATGACTGGACTTTTCTCTAGTTGACATGTACCTCCATGCTATAACATTTGGTTAATGTCTATTATGCATACAATATTAAGCATTCTGCCATTCAGCCATTGGTTACAACATAGTAATGTTATTTTTCATGATATTTATGATATTCTGCTTACATTACAGTTAACCAAAGAAGATTTTAACCACTATGACTATATATTTGGGATGGATCATGAGAATATCTCCGACATCAAGGCTCGAGCTCCAAAGACCTACACAGCGAAGATTGAACTCTTTGGCTCCTATGATCCCAAGAAAGAATTGATCATTAGAGACCCATACTATGTAAGTTTGCCTTGTATTCCTCTTTGAATAGTAATAGTAATTTTTAGACCTGTTATTTACTTTTCTAAGCATTATCTTTAAAGAAATAATTAAATTTTTTCTTTAACTAAATTAGTTGTTCTAAGATGAAGGAATACAATTTGAACTCCCTCGCCCCTTTTTTTCTGTACCAGGGTATGAAGTGTCAGTTTGAGCATAATTTTAACCAGGGGAAAACTGCAAATTCTTAGATTTGTAGTGTATTTTATTTTGTAATATTAAGTATACACTCATAAGCTTCAAGTGAATAACCAGCCCTCAGACATTGCAAGCAGTAACATTTGTCTTTCAAAAAATCCTTTACTGTGTGTGTTCTGGTGATTTTTAAATTACTCCCCTATTTACTTAAGGAAAACAGTGGGAATATCAGAGTTGAAGTGGGATTGTTGCTTTCAGTATAGCATTATTTAGTACCCTCTTCTGTGATGTGACAATGTTGTGGGAACTTTATTGTCTCTTTTTACTAGCTTTTCCTACTCTTTTTCTTGAAGCAGAAATCAGAAAAAGCTACAGATTATTACTTCAAACTGGTGATTGCTGTATGGAACAAACATTGGGCCATAATTAAGGTTATTTTATTTTGAAAAGCCTGATGACTTTCCATGTGAACAGGTCTGGTTCAAGCACTGTGTTTGTGTAGAAGCAGTTTGGGTACTTTATTAGCTACTATCGGTATCACATGGTAACAAGAATACCTTAAAG